CCCGGCCCCTCCTCCCTCAGACCCCGGAGTCCAGCCCCGGCCCCTCCTCCCTCAGACCCGGGAGTCCAGCCCCCAGCCCCTCCTCCCTCAGACCCAGGAGTCCAGGCCCCCAACCTCCTCCCTCAGACCCGGGAGTACCCAGTATACCACAGCAGCCCTGGTCCTTACCTTGCTTCGGGACATACTCCACCTTGATTTCTGGAGGACAAAGAAAACTGGACAGTCAGGTCTAACATTAGGTCTAAACCGAGCGGGCCTCTTATCCCACCCTCACACCCCAGAGGCAGAGGAGAGGGTCTGGCATCACCCAGGGACCCGGGGGGCTGGGGGCTGGTTTAGGTCCATGACTGTCCCTCCTCCCACGTGGACATGTGGACAGGCTTCAGCATATACAGTGCTCTCTCCCTCATCTTCTCATCCGACTCCACCCATGATCAACAGACGCCTGCTGTCACCCTCATGTACAGCTAAGGAAATTTAATCCTCAAAGGGGCATCCAGGCCCTGGGGTCTAGGAAGTTGGGGTCTATGGGCTCCAGGGGAAATGAAGGGGCATCCTCACCCAGGAAGTTGAGCTTGGCCGAGAGGGACAGGGCATAGCCATCGGGCACGAATGTATAGTCGCCCTCATCCTCGGGGCGGACGTCATCTATCACCAGCTTGTGGATTCTAAGGGGTTGGGGGTACGGGGCAGGGGTCAGGCCAGGTCGCCCTGGGGACCACCACACTGAGGAGAAGCACCCTCCTCAATGAAATCAACATGCCCACGCTCACCATTTTTATTCTGGGCTTTGGAATGCTACGGCCTGGGTTCAAATCTCAACTTTGCCACTTACTAGCTGTGTGACCTTGGGCCAGTTACTTAACCTCTCTGTGCCTCAGTTTCTTCATCAATAAAATAGAGGTAATGATAACAATCTACACCAGGGTTGCTGTAAAGCATTTAGAAAGCTCTCTGGCACATAGTAAGTATCCTATAAGAATTAAGATTCGTTCTCATCATTATTGAGACCACCGGCAGGCAAGGTTCCTTACACAGAACCCAGAGAAAGCCTACAATCCAGAGCTATTGTCAGGAAACCCACAGGGACACAATGTCCTACTGGTGTCCTGGAGGCTATCTGCATGCCGCAGATAACCAAGTGTTTATCCCACGTGGCCATGTGTTACCTGCTGAGTTCCAGCCCCTTGCTTCCCTGGCTAGACCCCCCGCAGTAGACTGTCTGCAATATAGGCACAGGTTTTCCCTTCCCTGTCTCCATGCCCCTTGCAATGAGACCTTGCAGCCTGTGACTTCCTTTGCCCAACAGAATATGGCAGAAGTGACATGAGAACAGTTCCCAGCCTGGGCCACAGAGGCCTTGTTTGCTTCCACACTCTCTCGGGACCCCTGCTTCTGCCACATGAAGATGCCAGGACTAGGCTACTGGGGGATAAGACGTCACACGGACCAGAGCAGAGGCAGCCCAGTGTTCCCAGCAGAAGTCCTGACCGAGCCCAGGAAGATCAGCAGCGCTGACACTCTGCTGACCACAGAGGCACAAGAAAGGCCATCCTAGACCAGCCAGCCCCCAACCAACCTGTGGACTCGTGATTAAATAAATCCCTGTTCTTTTAAACCACTCATCTGGGGATGGTTGTTATGCAGCTGTAGCTAACTGATACACATGCCCCACCCCCACCCACCCCCAGCCCCCTCCACAGTCTACTCCGCACCTCCCAATGTGGGAGATGGTGATCCTCTTGCTGGGCCGCACCTCGACCCCGTTCTTGTACCACTTGCCCGTCACCTTCTCATCGGACACCTCGCACTTGAACTCGGCCTGTTCTGAGGCCTTCACCGTCAGATCGGCAATGTCTTGCAGGACCTCCAGCTGTTTCTCTGGATGAGGAGAGAAGATGGGGCCATCACAACTCTAGTCAGTCCACAGATAATTGCGAACACCCACTATATGCCAAGCACTGTTCCAGGCACTGGGGCTACAGCTGTGGACAACCCAGAAACGATCTGCTGGCCTCATGGAGCTCACATTCTAGTGGTGAGACAGACAGTGAACAGGAAAACACATCAACATACAACAAGAGGGAGCAATGAGGCCTGAGGGAAGGCAGGGAAGAACCCACAGGAGAATGCAGAAGTGTCTCAGGTACAGGGGACAGCACGTGCAAAGGGCCTGCGGAGGAAAGCAGGCTTGTTGGGGTGGGAAACCGCAGGCAGGCCAGTGGGCAGCAAGCAAGGCAGACGTGCTAGGAGATGAAATGGATGGGGCAGACGGGCCCAGTTCATGGACCTCGTGGGCCACGGAGAAGACTTTGCATTGACTCTGAAGGAGGCGGGAGCCACTGGAGGGTGTTGGGAAGATGGCTGGGATCTGACTTATATTTTTAAAATTTAAAACATTTTTTAATAAATAAAATAAATAAATTTAATAAATAAAAATAAAACATTTTATTTTTTACATTTAAAACATTACATGGTTTACAAACAAAATGATAAAAAGATTTAGATATAGAGGGAAAAATCTCCCACCCATCCACCTCCAGTCACCCAGATCCAGATCCCTTCTCCAAAGGCACCTTCTATCCAGTCTAGAGCTCTCAAAGCAAATATGTACATACATTTTCTTTCTCCCCTTCTTTCTGTCCTTCCTTCCTTCCTTCCTTCCTCTCTTTTCCCTCCTATACAAATATAGCATATTTGCTTTTTTGCCTAACAATACATCTTGGAAATCTTTCCATATCAGTAAACTAAAAACTGTCATTTTTTATAGCTACATATAAATATAGCATAATTTATTTGGCCCATAAATGACTTGGGGTTTTTTTTACACTTTTTTTTTTTAAGCATCCTTTTTTTTACAATTTTTACATTTAAAGAATTATAGACTCACAAGAGTTTGCAAAAATAGTGCACAGAGTCCCGTGTACCCTTGGCCCAGCTTCCCCCAATGATGACATCTTATATAACTGTGGTCCAATATCAAGCCAGGAAACTGACGTGGGTCCAATACCGTGAACTAGACTACAGAATGTGTTCAGTTTTCACCATTTGACTTACATTTTACAAGGATCACTCTGGCTGGCATGTGTGTGTGTGCGTGTGTGTGTGTGTGTGTGTGTGTGTGTGAACCAGGTGGGGGCAGACATGGAAAGAAAGCAGCCACTGAGGAGACTACTGCAATAGTCCAGGCATGAGGGGACGGAGACCTGGGCTGGTGAGGGCAATGGAGCCGGGGGGAATAAGTGGTCAGATTCAGGATTTCCTTTGAAGGTGCAGCCACCAGGACTTGCTGGTGAATGGAAGGTAGGGTGTGAGGCAAACAGAAGAGTCAGGGACAGATTCAAGATCTGGGGCCCGGGCAACTTTGAGCTGCGAGGAGAGGCATACGCAGGGCGGCCCCCGGCCCCACCTCAAGGCCCCGTACCTTCCACGATGAGATCGGCCTCACACTGGCCGCCGTTGGTCATGACCCGGTAGCGACCCTTATCCTCCAGGGTCACCTCCGAGTAGATGAGAATGTGACGCTTCCCATCTTTCTTGAAGCGGTACCGGGACTTGAAGGAATCCTCCCGCGTCATTTCCACGCCGTCCTTCATCCTGGGCAGAGGGGACGTGAAGGGGGAAGTGAGGGGCCCGCACAGCCCCGGGTCTGGATGTCAGAGAGTGAGTCAGGGGCCCGAGAGACAGTCCTGAGCAGGGGTCAGGGGTCAGAAGGGAGGTCACGGGAGGGAGGAGAGATGAAGGTTGGCAGAGGCATCTGGAGTAGATGGGCCACAGGTGGGGGTCGGGGTGAAAAAGAGGAGAAGCTCACAGGCCACAGAGAGATGCCTCAAGGTGCCAATTGGAGGTCAGGACACAAAAAGAGGTCACGGGGAGAGGTCAGAGCGTGGAGGAAGTCCTGGGGTCACAGAGAGGGATGTCCACCATTGTGGCCCCTGTAAAGGCACTTCCCTGCCTGGGACACTCCTCCCTTCCCATTTCACTTCTACTTCCCCATCATTCAAACCTCAGCTCAATGGTCAGCTACTCCAGGGAGCTTTCCCTGACCTCCCGAGTCCTATTAAAAAGCAATTACAGAATCAGTGACTGCTCTTCTGAAATACTTGTCGAAACAGAACTTCTATATTTACTTGTGTGATGACTTGACTAACGTCTGTCTCCATCTTCTATACACACACACCTCAGCAATTTACCAGAATATGAACTCCACGAGAGCAGGTGCCATGTTGATATATTTTCTCCCCATTTTATCTCCAATACATGGAAGACTGCCACCACACAATAGGTGCTCAATAAATATTTGTTGGATGGGTGAATGAATACAGGGATGGACGAATGGATGGGCAGTTGGGTGGGTGAGTGGGTGGGTGGATGGGTGGGTGGATGGATGGATGGATGCATGGATGCATGGATGGATGGATGCATGGATGCATGGATGGATGGATGCATGGATGGATGCATGGATGGATGCATGGATGGATGCATGGATGGATTAGTAGATGGAAGAATGAATCAATAGGATGGATGGATGGGTGGATGGGTGGACAGATGGATAGACGGATGGACGGATGGATGGATGGATGGATGGATGGATGGATGGATGGATTAGTAGATGGAAGGATGAATCAACAGGATGGACAGATAGATGGATGCATGGATGTATGTATGTATGGATGGATGGATAGATGGATGGATGGATGGATAGACAGAAGGATACATGAGTGGATACACCAAAGGATAGATGATTGGTTAAATGGGTGAATAAATAATTTAATGAATCTGCAATAGCAGGAATGAGGAAAAGGACCCCAAAGAGGATGGGATGGGTAGAGGTCAGAAGTCCTAGAAAGAGGTCATGGGTGAAGGTCAGGACTTATAGAGAAGGGCTAAGGTCTCCTGGTGACTGAGTAAAGGTCCGAAATCTCCAAGAGAGGTCATAAAGATCAGGGCTGAGGCACAGAAGCGGTGGACACCTCTATGGAGATCAGGGATCAAGAGTCACTTACCACATGACCTGGGCACCCTCTTCCGACACCTCCACTGCCATTTCCACCCGGTCGCCCACAAACACCTGCTGGTCCTCGAGGGGTGTGATAATCAGGATCGGAGGTTCTGCGGGGTATGGGGGGACAGGAGGTCAGTAGTTTCAGGACCCCCGTCAGAGCCCCACTCCCCAAATTCAGGCCCAAATCCCCAACTCACCTCTGACAAACAGCTCGGTGAAACACTTCTCATCTTTGACAGCGACCTCATAAGCAGCATCATCCGCCAGCGTGCATTTGTTGATGGTGAGAATTCGCTTCTTACCAACGTTCTCAAACACGTACCTGGTGCAGAAGTCTCAGCTCAGTCCAGGGCACGGAGGAGATCCTAGCCCTGGGGTGGATCAGCCCACCAGTTCTCAGGCTAAGTCCCGCCCTCTCTCACCTAGAGAACTACATTTCCCAGCCTCCTCTGCAGCTGGGTTGGCCACACCACCCAGCTTGGACCAACGGAATGTGAGTGGATGTGATGGACGTAACTGCTAGGTCATCTCCAACTTTGAGTTGCCAGCTCTGGACTTCTCTCCTTCCCCCTTCCTGTCCGCCAGACACAGATGTACCCATGACCCAGCCTCCGCCATGCAGATGAGGACAATACCACAAGACATGGTGTAGCCAAAAATGTGGAAACTGGATCCCCAAAAAATCTCTAAGAGGAGAGCTGGCCCACTAGCCTCAATCAGCTAGAAACACATTTCTCTCCAACTTAACGTATTCTGGGGACTCTTTCTTACAGCATCTTAACCTATGCCTTAACTAACATAACTTTTTTTTTTTTTTTTTTTGGTGAGGAAGATTGGCCCTGAGCTAACATCTGTGCCCGTCTTCCTCTATTTTGTATGTGGGGCGCCACCACATCATGGCTGACGAGTGGTGTAGGTCTGCGCCTGGGATCCGAACCCAGGTCGCCAAAGTGGAGCACACCTACCTTAATGACCATGCCACCAGGCTGGCCCCCTAACCTAACTTTTTATCTCATCCAAAATGTTCATGATGACAAATTTAGAAAACACAGCCAAGGAAAAAATAACAAAAATAGAACCCATCCGTAACTGTCCCACCAAGAGATCCTGCTGCAAACATTTTGGCCTCTGTCTTTCCAATCTTTTTCTTTATACACATACAAATTAATTCTGTGAAGCAGAAATGGGAACTGTGTGCATAACAATAACCTTGAACCGCTTCCCGTGTTAGTATGTATTTTAGAATATCTTTTTTTTGTGTGTGTGAGGAAGATCAGCCCTGAGCTAACATCCATGCTAATCCTCCTCTTTTTTTGCTGAGGAAGACTGGCTCTGAGCTAACATCTATTGTCAATCCTCCTCCTTTCCCCCCCGCCCCCAAAGCCCCAGTAGATAGTTGTATGTCATAGTTGCACATCCTTCTAGCTGCTGTATGTGGGACACGGCCCCAGCATGGCCGGACAAGCGGTGCCTCGGTGTGCGCCCGGGATCCGAACCCAGCAGCGGAGTGCCCGCACCTAACCGCTAAGCCACCGGGCCGGCCCTAGAATATCTTTTATAGTGACTGCACAACATCTTTGTTTAGTATGGAACTGTACATTTTGGTTGTCTTCCATTTTTCGATACAATAGCAAATGCTTCAGTGAAGATCTCTACAGCTAAATATGCATAACCATGATAATTCCCTTACAATAAATACCTAGAATTGCACGTTCTAAAGGCTTTATAATACACTGCCTTTCCGAGATTCAGCAATGTACGTTCCCACCAGCAACATTTGTATACCCACTTCCCTGTCTTCCCCAGCTCTGGGTTTTATCATTCCGTAAAATTTTTGACCATTTGGAGAGCAGGAACACTTGTTTTGATTTGCATTATTATATTATTATTATTATTATTTGCAAGGTTGAGTGTACTTCACAGTGTATTGGCCATTTGGGTTTCTCAACTGAATCCCTATTTTTCATTGCCTTTGTTTTTGTCACTGTCTTTGTCTATTATTCTGAGGTACATGCACTTTTCATATGGGGGAGAGAGGGTCCTCTCTGGGTTACGAGTGGCCAGCCTTATTTCCAGGCCCTCTCTCTGGGACTCGGATCTCCCACCCAGGGACCGCCCCCCCACACGTACTTGCTACTCGGTTTGATCTCCTGGCCGTTCTTGAACCACTTGAGGGGAAGGTCTGGGTCACTGATCTCCACTACCAACTTGATCTTGTTGCCCCTATCCACTTGGTAGGCTGGATCGAGCTTCTTCGTGAAGGCTGGAGATTGAGGGATGCAGGAAAGACAGGGCTGTGAGGTTCTCGCTGCCCTGGTCATTCCTGGAGCTGACAAGTCTCCCTCCCCAGACCATGGGCTCCCCAAGGTGAAGGTCAGGGGGCCTCCTATGAACTTGGAAGTCCCTGAGAACAGGGCGCTATTACTCCTCAGATTGGGACCTCCAAAAGATAGGTCCAGGGTCCAAACATTGGATACCCATGATGCTAAGGGCCTTATGAGCTCCCCTCAGACCAGCGCTGACCTGCACTCTTCTTGACCTCGACCTTGGCCTTCTTGAGCCGCTTCAGCATGCCCCGGAGGTCGGTGATGCCGTACTGGAAGGCTATCCTCTCATACTCACTCTTCTTTGCCCCTTTCAGGAGCTCCCAAACCTCAGGCGGGATGCCCAGGTCATCATCATCTTTCTTCTTCTTCTTCTTCTTCTCCTCCTCAACCACCTCCCTGCAGGTGGGGAGAGCAGGCCGGGCCACCAGGGGGTGAGGAGGTGAGGGTCTCCCTCCGCCTTCTCCACCCACTCGCTGTGTTGCTTTCTCTCTGAGGCTGCTCTCCCTTATTCCCTCCCACCTGGACCATTGCCCCAGCCTCCTCCCTGACCTCCTGGCCTCCATCCAGTCTCTTCCCCTCCAGTCTGTTCCCCATGTGGCCCCAGAGGGATATTTCTGACCCCTGCAGCAGATGCCATACCCTCCCCATTCAAAATTCTCCCATGGCTCCCAGCGCCCTCTGGAGGAAGCCCCAGCAACTCTGCCTGGCAATCACGACCCCACCCACCATCCCATCACCATTCCCACAACCATCCAAACCACGCTACTTGCCTTTTCCCAAACTCTTGGCTCTCTCCTGCCTTCCAGCCTTCTCACAAAATGTTTCCCTGCCCGAGGACCCCTCCCCACCTTCTCTTCCTAATGGACTCCTCTTCATCCTATAAGACCTAGGGCCAAGGTTCCCTCCTCCGTGAGGCACTCTCTGTTGTTCCAGGCAATGAAGTGCCCTCACTCTGGGCTCTCACAAGGCCCCTCTGAGACTCTCTCTCTGACCATGCTAAACAGTCTTGGTCTGTGTCCATGTCAGTTGGATCAGACCCGTCTTCCCAAGGCAATGAGCGACTCAACATCAAGGACCCAGTCAAACTTCTCTCTCTCCCCTGATCTCAGCCCAGGGCCTGGTAGATGGGAGGCCTCAGAAGATGTTTGATGAGTGAGAGAGTGAATGGATCTCTGGAAAGAAGGAAGGAAGGGAAGAGGACAAAGGGAGGATGGATGAATGGGTGAATTTGGGGACAGATGAATATTTGGACTGATGTACAGAGCATTGGGGGAGGAACTGATAAATAGATGGGTAGAGAGTCAATGGATGGCTAGGTTGATGGATGCATGGGCCAATGGGCAGGTGGGTTGGTGAGGGATGGGTGGCACGAAGATAGGTGGATGGGTTGATGGAGGATGGCTGGGTGAGTGGATGGTTTGATGGGTTGGTGGCAAATGGTTGGGTGGGCAGTTGGGTGACTATGTTGATGGGAGATGGCCAGGTAGGCGGCTGGCTGGGTAAAGACAAACAGATGAATCTATTAGTAAAAGGGGTTGTCGGGGATTTGGTTATGGGGACAGATGAGTGAGTAGAAGGATGGATAGGTGGACCAGTAGACAATAAATAACTGAGCGAATGGACAAGTATCATGTTGAACAATATGAAATTGCCAACATCCAATCATTTTTGACCTCCATAACAGCAATTTCATATTGACAAATCTAACAGAGAGCTATCTGGGTGGATGGGTGTGTCACCGGAGAGGTGAACAGTTGATAGAGGAATGCCTGGCTGCGTGGGTGGATGAGTAGATGGGTGGGTGGGAGGTTGGACTCAGTTGGGAGAGAGGTACAGGTGCAGATGGATACACAGGTGGGAAGGTGGATGGCTGAGAGACAGATGGGTGGTGGAAATGTGGATAGATGGGTGCCTCAACACATGCAGAAGTGGATGATGGAATGGGTGGGTGAAGGATGAATGGATGGGTTAACGAGTGGGTGGCTGAGGATAATGGCAGATGGGTAGACAGACAGTGGGAACATGGTGGGTAGATGAATGGATATGTGGGCATATGGATGGGCAAATGCACAGGTAGGTGAATGGACGGATTAGTAGATGGATAAATAGGTAGCTGGTTGGATGGATGGATGAGTGGACAGACTGGTTGATGGGTGGACAAGCGGATGGATGGTTGGTTGGGTGAACAGGTGGATGAATTGGAGCCTGAGTGGACAGGGACGTGGATGTGAGGATGATGGGTTAAAGAGCGGGTGGGTAGGTGAACTGGTGGGCAGATGGTTGGTTGGGTGTGGGTGAATGGGTGGATGGGTGGATGGACAGGTGGCTGGGTGGGCAGGGAATGGGTAGATGGAGGAGGTGAAGGAGTAAGCAGGGAGTCCCAGGACGGCAGTGGGGAAGCAACGGGGGCAGTGGGATCTCACCCACCAGCCTTCTCCTCCCTGAGCCCTCATCTCCCCTCTCTATGCCAGGCAGGGGGGCTCACCTCTTCTTCAACAGGCCGCTGAAATCCAGCTCACCCGCGTCTTTCATCTTCCCTTCGTCCCTGTGGCCATGGAGATGAGGTGTGACCCCCACTGAGGTCCTGACCCTCACACTCACCCTGGGTCCCCACTCCTCGCCTTCCCCAATCCTTCCTTCTCCTGCAGCTCCCCCTCACAAGGGAGACCCTCCCATGATCCTTGGCACCAGGAGACCCCCTTCCTCTCCCCATGCTCCAGGGTCACTTACGAACGCTTGAAGCTTTCTAGGGTCTGCCCAGAGGCATCCTGACGGGGCGCTGGGGAGAGGCAACAGGGGAAGGGAAGGTGAGCTGGAGGCAAGGCTAATCAAAGCCCAAGAACACCCCTCCAGGCCTGCACAACCTCCCCCAGGCCCCTTTCCCTCCACCTCTTGGGCCAGCACACCCTCTCACTTGGGCCTGAACACCTTTTACTTCTAGATTCATTTCCCTGCCCACCGGGCACCACTCTCTCTCAGCAGCCTCTAGCCCCTCACACCTGGGCCAGCACACCCTTCTCCCCAGGCCTGAGCAACCTCATTCCCTGTGCCCTCCATGTTTAACCCCCTCACATCCTGGGCTGCAGACCCCCAGAGCCTGTACACCTTCAGGGATCCATGCCCCCGAATCTGTATAACCTCCCATTAATCCTGTACATCCTCACCCTAAACCCGTACACCCTTACTCTCTAAACCTGGACACCCTTACTTCCCAAACCTTTACTGCTACTTTCTCAAGCCTGTATGCTGTGACCCTGGAATCTACATAATTTGCCTCCTAAGCCTTCGCATGTATACCCCAAAACCCTGAACCCTTTCACCCCCAAACCTACACGTCCTCATGCTCTAAGCCTACAGACTCTCTCCCCAATTTTGAATACCCTGACCCCTGAATCTGTCCTCCCTCCTCCAAAAACCTATGCCAGCCTCACCCCTGCATCTGTACGCTCTCCTACACCTGGCTGGTACATCCGTCCCCCCACCCCAGACCCACCCCCTGGGCCCCCACCCCCACCAACGTACCCTCCACATCGATGTTGAAGCCACAGCTGTCAGAGAGGTCCTTGGCTTTGACCTCGAGGCGGTAATCCCCACGGTCCCCCAGTACCACCTTCCCAATGTGCAGCTCGAGGGTGTATACCTGGGGGCCAGGCCAGCAGTGTGGGTGCACGTGACCGCCCCCCAGCACCACCCACATCCCCAAGAACCCACCCCACAACTCTTTCTTCGAGTCCTCACCCCCGCCCCACAGGAGGGGACAGCTGTCTCTTCCCATGCCTGGACAACCTTGACCCCTGGGGGCCCATATCCCTGACCCCTGACCCCCTGTGCACATACCCAAGTGCACCCTCCCTAACTCAACATTCTCCCCTCCTGCCCAGCACAACCTCTACCAAACAGCCCCACACAACCTCCAGCCCTGGAGCCCCCATTCTCCATCTGTGGGGCTGCAGGCCCACAGTGACACCTCAAACAATAGGCCTTCTGAGAAACCGGGCCTGCACACCCTCCAGCCCTGGCCCGCGTGCCCTCATGTCCCCACAGGGTCCTCACATTGCTGGCAGCGTCGTGGGACTCCTTGCAGGAGAATCGGGCCCCGCTCTTGCTGCCCAGCTCCAGCCACTTCCCCTTGATCCACGTGAAGGTGGGTTTGCCCTGGAGATCCTTCCCGTTCACCTTGGCGACAATCAACACATCCTTCCCTGGGGGGCCAGGGGGGGGGGTGTGGGATGGGAGGGAGGGGCCGGGCAGAAGCATTACACTCTACAGAGAGGACTGGGAAGTTGGGGGCCCCCAGCCCCTCCTCCCTCAGACCCGGGAGACCATCCCCCAGCCTCTCCTCCCTCAGACCCGGGAGACCATCCCCCAGCCCCTCCTCCCTCAGACCGCCTCACCATTCTCCACTGACACAGAGTCTGGCTTCTTCAGGAAAATGCCAGTGGGCTCCTCAGCAGTGGGAGACTGGTCCTCAGGTGGGGCTTCTGCTCAGGAGACAGGATTAGGGGGTCTGAGGCAGGCTGGGGAGGGGGGCAACAGGCCACTCTGGGGGCGGGGCTTAGAGCTAGTGAGGGACACTGCTCAGAAGCCATAGACCAAGGGGTGAAGTGGCTTCTCCTGACCTGGGAAAGACCACATGTCACCCAGGTGGCTGCATCCAGGCTCCCCCACCCCTTTGGGCCTCAGTTTCCCCATCTGTGAACTGGAGGGTGGTGGACTGGATGGTCTTGAAGGGGACTTTGGGTAGGAGAGGTGTAAAGATGGACCGGGGCGTTCAGAGCTGGGCAGGATTCGGTGATGAATCAGCCACTGGCCGGGGGCTTGAAGGCCAGGCTAAGAGGCTGGGCTCTTTCCTGGGGGCACTGGGGAGCCATGGAGGGCTGTGAGCAGGGAGGGGCCGGTTGGCTCTGGAGCTGTGTGGAGGAAGGACTAAAAGAGAGAGAGCAGGGAGGGTGCAGAGAGGCGAGGGGAGCCTGGGTGATGAGATGCCAAGTTCTGCTGAGGCCACCTGAATGCCATCTCACCTTTGGGGGCCTCTGCAGGAGCCTCCTTAGGGGGGGCTTCCTTCGGAGCTGGTTTGGCCGCATCTTTCTTTTCGGGGGCCTTTTGGGCCGCTGTGAGGTAGGAGATGTTCACAGTTGAGCGTGTGCTCAGTGCCCTCCTCTTCCAGAACCTAGGAGTCTGGGCCCCAGCCCCTCCTCCCTCACACCCAGGAGTCTTGCCCATCCAGACGTAAATTTATCTCTAATCTCCAGAGTCTGCACGATCAGGTTTCCCCTTGCCTCCTTTCCCCAGACAGGCCATGCCCCCTCCACCCAGGCCACCAGGCCTTGACCTTCTGGGTCCTGGGAGTATAATTAGCTCTTCCTCCAGGCTGGAAACTGGACACTTGTGCTGAGCACAGCATCTTTCACCTGCCCTGCCTTCTGGCTCCTGGCCCGCAGGGGCTCCAGCTACACCAAGGGGCTGGACTCCCACCCCACAGCCTGGTTGGCCTGGTGCCAGGGGACTGGACACCCCAGAAGGAGGGGTCCTCCTGGGACTTGTGTCTCCCCTGTTCACTTCCTCATACAGAGAAAGCCCCATCCTCATATAGAGAAATGACCCCCCGGTCCCATTGAAAGAAGGGCCCCCAAACTGTACATAAAGAAAGGCGTTCTGGCCCCTATATGGAGAAGGTCCCTGCATTTTTACACGGGGAAGCCTCAATTCCCATAAAAAGGAGATGCCCTCATCCTTGTACAGAGAACAGCTCTCCTCACCATACAGACATGAACCCCTAATCTCTATACACACGAGGACCCCATTCCCCTACAGAGAAAGGCCCCAATCCTCACTCAGGGAAGTGGCTCTGATCCCTATCCAGCAGACCACATTCCCAAATGTGGAGGACCCTCAGTGCCACGCAAAGACTCCCCAATCTACATGCACAGGACTCCCATCCCCATCAAAAAAAAGGGACTTAAATTCACAGAGAATCTCTATCGGCACCCAGAGATGGGCCCCTCAACTCCCTACAGAGAAAGGAACCCCCTCGCTGCACAGGGAAGCGGCCCCTCATCCCAACACAAGGAAGGGAACCCTCCCCCACACAGAGAAGGCACCCCATCCTCCCAGCCCCACCAAGAGAGGGGCCCCTAGTCCCCATTCAGAAAAGAGGGCCGCATCTCCACGGAAGGAGGGAGCCGGGACCGGAAAGCCACCTGGTTTTGCCTCAGGCATGACGGCGAATCTCCTCTCGCTCCTCTGACCGCAGCCGTGTCCTGCTGGGCCCTCGAGAGGACGGGGGGGGGGCCCCCAGGGGGAGCCCTTTAAGGAGCGCAGAGACTCCCAGGAGGCTCCGGGAGGCATCGGATGCGCCTCCCCACCCTCCCCTGCCGCCCCACATTCCACCCTCCTGTTCTAAAGGGCGAGACATAACAGCTGGACAAGGAGATGGCTGAGGGCCAGGTCCCCAGGGAGGAGGGGGCTGGGGTTCCGACACCTGGGTCTGCGGGGGGAGGGGCTGGGGGCCCGGACTCCTGGGTCTGGGGGCAGAAGGGACCTGGGGCCCAGATTCTCGGGTCCCGGAGAAAGGAGAAGGATGAAGGCCTGGACTCCTGGGTCCTAGGAGGAGGGAGAGGAAGGGGCTGGGGTCTAGAGCCGCTGGGAGCTGGGAGCCAGCACTCTGGCCTGGGGGGAAGGGAAGGAAGACGGGGTCTAGAAAGCCATTCTTAGCATTTGCAAGTCAGGAGTTTTCCGGAAACCAGAGCCGGGAGGGAGGGTCCGGTTTCCCAGCGTAGGCAGGACGGCGGGGGTGGGGAAGAGGTCTCTGTGCCCGCAGGCAGGGCACTGGGGCTCGGGGACTCCGGAGTCCAGCCCCTGGCGTGGGCACGCCCGAAGGCCTGGGGCTCGGCCACCTGGGACCCCGGACTGGCCGCCGCCTCTCCTGGGACCGCGCCCGGCCAGCTCGCCGCGACGGTTCCCGGAGCGGGCGCGGCGGGCACCACACGCGGGGGAGGCGGCGGTGCCCCCCGCGGGGGCGGCTGGGGAGGCCGGGAAGGCCCTGGAGGGCTGCCCGGACGCTGGCGCCCTTCCCGGCAGGGGGACCTGTGGCTTTTGAATGGGGGTGGCGGTGGCTGGACGCCGGGTGGGGGAGGTGAAGGAGGCAGGAGGAGGGGATCAGGAGGAGAGGGTCTTGGGGACATCAGGTGATGGGGGGAGGAGGGCGAGGTGGGTGTGAGAGGGCGGGGAAGCGCGCGGGGTTACGGCAGAGACGGGCTGGGAAGTAACGAACGGTGAAGGAGCCGGTGGGAGGGAAGACAAGTCCCTCCGAGTTTTCTTCCTGCCCATCTCTTCCCTCCGCCTTTTCCAAAACCCCCTATGAGCCGGAAACTTCCCCGCCTCCAGGGGGCGCTAAGCCAACCGGGTGGCAGCCTCCGTGTGACGTCACGGGTTGCCAGGCAGACTGCCACGCCGCTCCTGCGAGCCCGGCGAGGTGGACGAGCCGCAGGTGCCAGGAGGGCGAGCTGCTACCTGGGGCCTCGCGCCCCGTCCCGCCAGCCCGAGGGCTGTATCCAGAGAGAGGGGACAGAGACCCAGACAGAAAAGGAAGCAGGGAGAGGGCAGGGAAGAACTCCAATTGTCAGGAAGAGAGGGAGACAAAAATTGAACCGAATCACCCGTGCCTGTATCTGAAGCCCCTTATGGCGGCCTTCAAGGCTCAGCCTGGGCTGGCTCTAACTGCCTCTTCCATCTCCTCTCTTATCTCCCACCTCGCTGTCCCAGTGTCCCGGAGGGCCAGGAGGCCCTGGCGGACCAGCAGCATTGCAGTCCCTGACAAAGGCTCCTAGGAAGTCTGTCTACCCTGATTTGTTTTATTTTATTTTATTCCACACGTGGGGTGATGATGATAGTTTTTGCAAAAGGTACCTCATTTGCAAGAGAGGCCCTGGGGAGGTCCTCCACAGGCCCCTCCCACTCTGCCCCCTACCCCGGGGGGGAGCGGGGGCTGTCCTTCTCTTGAGAGCAGGTCCCAGGCTGGGCTCTGCTACCAGCCACTGTGTGCCCCCACGGGGACGTCTTCCCTCTCCGGGTCCTCGACGCTGCCTCCTCCTCCTCCTCCTAGCCATCAGTGGGTGGTGGGGTGGATTTCAGAAGATGTGTCAAAGGCTTGCTCGGCAGGGCTGCAAGGGACTTTTGCAATCTTCCTCCTCCTCCTCTCCCCTTTCACAGAAGGGACAAACTGAGGCCCAGAAGCAGCAAGTCTTTCACCCCAGATCCCCCAGCCACCCAGGCTCAAGGACCTGGGACTCTGGGCTCGTAGCCCACAGCCGCTGACGCCCGGGGTGGGGTTCCAGTCAGAGCTCGCACAGTTCATCCAGGCTTCACCTCCAGCTGGGTTCACATCAGGGGTCGAAACGCAAATGGTTGGGGCCCAACGGGCAACTGAGAGAAGCCACTGGGGTGTGACAGCCAGGGGTGGCCGGGACTGGGGCAGATTGGAGAACAGAGGTCCCTTTAGGAGACAGTGCCACCCTGCTCCAGCCTCTCCACACTGCAAAGCTGGCCCACCATTGCTGGATTGTGCAAAGTTTTAAGTGAAGGATTATGCAAAACGGCCCTATTTTGAAATGTCAGCTAATTCGCATCCCCCCTTAAAAAAAAAAAAAAAAAACCCGCCACAGTGAACTAACCTCCACCAGGGACCTGATTTGCCCTGCGGGACGGGGAGGCTGTCACCAGTTTGAGACCTCTGGTTAGAAATGACATGGGAGGGCTGACAAGATCACCCAGAAACCAGTTGATTAGCCAGAATGGTCCCCGGCATGGCCCCACGAGGTTTCCCCAGGAGAGGAACCGTCCCATGAGAACACAGGGCTGCTGGTGGGGTCCCCAAAGGGGCATTTCAGATGGGGATACCAGAGGTGACCCAGACATGACAAGGTTCACTGAGGTCCCCCTAGATTTGACAAGGGTGATTTCAGACATGACAAAATGATCCCAGAGGGGCCCTAGACGTGACTGGAGAATTCCACACACAGAAAAGTTCCAGAAAATTAGGCGATCCCAAAGATGACAAAGGGATTGGGAGGGGACGGATAGGACAAGAGAGTCACAGATGGGCACAGAGATCTGAGACGTGATAAAGAATTCACAGAGGGCCCCAAACATAACTAGGACATCCCAGATCTGACTTGAGGGACCCAGACATGAGAAGGGGATCCCAGAAAGACCCTGGACAGGGCTTAAGGTTGCTGGCAGGCGCCCCTCCCGGCGTGATGATCTGCGGGCTCACTCTCCCCCAGATGATACTGAAGGATCTCAGACACAAATGGGATCTCAGGGAGGTCCCCGGCCTGGTTGGGGGGTCTCAGACATCATAAGGGGATCCCAGAGGCGTTCTTGGGATTCTGGAAGCAATGCCCCGCCTCGCTCCACACAGACACATAGCAGAGTCGTCTGTGGGTCCTGCGACCCGAGACATGAGGATCCTGGGGCTCCTGGACATGACAAGGGAATCCCAGAGAGGCCCCAGACACGATTGGGGGGTCCCAGAGGGACCCTGGGCAGGGCTTAGGGATTAAGGCAGCCCTGCTCCCCCGCAGTGTGGGGATCCGCGGGTCCTCTGACCTAGGGTGTGGGGACGCCGACGTGACACAGGCGTGGAGCCCCTGAGAGGCCCCCTGGGCTCAGGCCCGGCGGGCGGCAGGCAGCAGCGCGCTGTCGAACTGGTAGGTGAGCTTGCGTTTGACCTTGCGGATCTCGCCCGTCTTGGCGTAGTTGCGCAGGGCGCGCGCCAGCTTCTGGTAGGTCATGCGCTTGCGGTTGCCCTTCTGCTGGCCCCAGCGGCGCGCCAGCAGCTCCTTGTGCTTGGAGGAGAACTGGAAGACGCCGGTGCCGGGCTCCACCCACCACACGCACTCGCGCATGTCTCCGCGCGTCAGCAGCCCCAGCAGGAACTGGTAGAGCCGCAGCTTCTTGCGGGCCCCTGCGGCGGGGGTGGCAGGGGGGCGCGTCAGGGGAGGGGCCCTTCGCGCCACGCCCACCCCGCCCTGGCCCCCGCCAAGCCTCAGTCTCCCCATCGAGAGAATTGGAGTGAGGGGGTGGCTGTTAGATAGACCCGCCTGGCTCCGTCTGTGCGCGCCCCCCCCCCATTCAGGCAAGTCGCGCCCCCTCGCTGAAGCCGCGACGCCAGAACCCCCATCCCCCTTCCCTGCTTGATTTTTCAGGATGTGCGTCTGTCCTGTGCTGGGCTGGGTGGCCAGCACACGGTAATACATATTTATTGAGCCCATGGATGAATCTGTGAAATGGGTTGACAGTGCTCCTCCAAAGCTTGTAAGAGAGAGCTGGCTGGTGGTGGAGAGATCTGGAGGGGCTTGCAATCGGCCTGGCTGTTTCTCCAGCTCTGGGTCTCCCGGCCTCTCAGCCCAAGAGGGGCTGGGCTCCTGGGACAGGCCAGGGGGTCAGTCTCCTGGGCTCTCCCGTCTGTCTCCCGGAGCTGGGGTGGGGGCAGGTGAGTTTCACAGCAGGGCATTGGATACAAGAACCCGACCTCTGCCACTTCCCAGTTGTGTGACCTTGGGGTGGTGACTTAACCTCTCTGAGCTGGTGTCTCCTCAGCTATCAATGAGGCTAATGTGTGTGTGTTTGTTTTACTTGCACCAACCTTTGTGATGCGCTTAGGGCCAGGCGCCCGGCTGGGTGCTTTACAATTATGAGCTCATTTAATTTTCCTCGTAACCCCCCAATTTGGGGATGATGATGAAGATGCCCATTTTACAGATGGGAAACCGAGGCCCAGATAGGGAAAGGAAGTAAGCATCCCAGCTTCCCAGGGGTTGCACATAACGGATGTCAGGCACGTGGGCGGAAGCAGGGGTTGAATAGATGGGAGTTGATGTTGTGATAATTTCTGTTGCTATGGCCTCCATAATGATGGTGAGGACCTACTGAGCGCTCACTCTGTGCCAAGCACGTTTACACATATTATCCCACTTAATCTTCCTAACCACCAGTCACACATGCGATTACTGTCATCCACATTGCACAGACAGGAAACCAAGGCACAGAGAGGTAGAGGCACTGGCCCAAGGTCACACAGCCAGTAGGTGGCAGACCTGGGAACTGCCCTCAGCACTGGAGTATATAGTAGGTGCTTGGGAAGCCATGACGCCTTTAGCCCCCTCCCCCCATCTCCAGTTGGAGTCCTCCCCCCCCGCCACTTGCTCCCACATACCTGCCTCAGATGCCCTCCCCTCGGGGCCACCCATGAGGGCCTCATCCGACTCGCTGTCCGAGACCTCCAGGGTGGGATTGTCCAGCAGGAGATCTTCCTCCTCCGACAGCACGGGGCTGGGGTACGGGGCGTACGCCAGGGGGCCCAGGGTCTGCGGAAGGTCACAGTCACCTGCAGCCCGGGCCCCCTTGTCTCCCTCCCTCTGCTCTTGCCCCTTGGCTTCCCCCTCCCTGGCCCGCCTGTGGCCCTCTCCGCTCTGTTTGCATCCTGCACTCTGGCCTCGGTTCAGATCTCCATGGCCTGGCCGGGGGACCCCCGGGCCACCTCCTGGGGTGAAGGCCTGCCCACACAGATAACGGCCGTCCGTGCGGCCCCTTGGCTCACATCTGTGCCTGTGTTGGCTGGTTCGTGCAGTGGAGCAATGATGGTACTTGACCACAGAGGGTGCTCAGAGGGATGAAGGGGTTAATCTGTGCACAGGTTTTAACCAGTGCCTGGCACCTCCTGGTGAATGTCAGTGTCGGTCAAATGATGGGATGGTAATTGTCTCCCTGCCCCTCACCTGGCTGGGGAGCTCCTCCATGGGGTACACTGGGAAGCCGGGCCCCGGGGCCTCCAGGCTGGGGGCCGGGTCGAGGCTTCCCACGGGGCTGTAGGTCGAGGGTCCGTAGCAGAGCTGGACACCCTGGGGTTGGCTGAAGGTGGCCACGGCCGAGTCGTAGGCTTCAAAAGAGGAGGCTGGGACAGCTGGGCCCTCAGTCCAACCCCACAGGGAGTCTGGGGGAAGGGCACTGAGTCAGAAGCCAGGAGGTCTGGCCGCAGCCCCCTCCCTCTCGAAGCCCCCGGCACAGAGGGGCCATTGTGGGTCGTGCAAATCTCTGACCCCAGGATTTGCATGGGCGAGCGGGTGGGTGGGAGAGGAAAGGGAGGAGGCCTGGAGGCCTGAGTTAACTTTGTCCTGCTCTGCTAGCTGACAGCCTCCCCTGGGCCTCAGCTCTCCCATCTGTGAAATGGGCTCAAGGGGCAGGTGGGGAGGGGGCTGGGCCAGGGTCACCCACCAGGAGCCCCCTCTGAATCGGGGTAGCCGGGGTGCTTGCAGCTGTCCAGGTCGTAGAAGACTCCATCTGGGTGCTGATAGGGGTGCGGGAGAAAGAGCGGTCATCCCAGGCTGTGGGGAGCCCTCACCCCTACCCCAGACCAGCAGGGAGACTCCCACAGGGACGGGGAGAGTAGGGGAGAGGCTGGGAGAGGGAGGGAAAGAGAGAGACACAGGAACTGAAACAGAGAGAAAGAGACAGAGACACAGAGAGACAGTGAGAGAGGTATAGAGAGACACAGAGACTAGGCCCCAGAGACAGGGGCAAAGAGATACACAGAGAGGAGACAGACACAACAAAGCAGAAACACACAGAGACACAGACACACAGAAACAGAGACCCAGGGGCTCAGAGAGCGACACAGCAGCCAGCTCCCTCTGAGACTGGTGGCTCATGGGAAGCCAAGCACCTCGCTGGTACACAGTCAGCACTGATCGTGCCTGGGAAGGTGTGTGTGGGGTGGGTGAAGGGTGAGAGAGTGGCAGTGTTTTCACGGAGGCAAAGTCTCAATGCTTCCTTTGTCCACCTCCGTATCGCTCCAGTTCGTCCCAAGAATCATGTGTTGTTTAGCAATTAGAGTCTCGTAAAGTCTAAAGTTAGATATACATCATCCTGATGACCCGCAATCTCATACCTAGGTATTTACCCAAGAGAACATATGTCTGCAGAATAGCCTTGTGCAAGAGTAATCAGAGCAGCTGAGTTCATAGCCCGAGACGGAAACAGCCCAAGTGCCTATGGACAGGAGAATGGACACATTAACTATGGTGTGGTCCTGCGATGGAGTACTAGACAGCAAGGAAAAAGAAGCAAGACCTGATGCTGAGTGAAGGAAACCAGACCCCAAAGGGGACACCCCGCGTGATTGCTTTATATAAAGTTCGAAACATGGTGGAAAATACCAGAGCGGGGTATTGATCGGGAAGGGACGTGAGGGAATCTTCCAGAGTGATGGAAATGTTCTATATCTTGCCCTGGTTAGTGGTTACCCAGATGTGTGCATAATGTAAAACCTCAGTGAGCTGCACGCAAGATTGTCAGTTTCCCGACTGGTAAGTTATACTTCAATTTTTAAAGAGAGAAAAGTTGTCAAGTCAGAGGCCGCGTGGGATGTGCTGAGGAAGGGGACCCGAAGGAGGTTTCTTTTGAGCATATGAGCGAGGTTTTATTTCTCGGACTGGGCTGTGGGTTTACGAGTGGTGGGTATAGTGTTCCATGTCTGAAATCTTACAGACTAGATTTTTGAAACTACAAAGCAAAGATGAGAAGGGAGGAAGGAATAAGTCGATTCGCTGAATGTGGGATGGACGGAGGAAGAGAGACACAATCGAAGACAGAAAGGCCCCCACCCCTCCCGAGGCAAGGAAGTGGACTGAGAGGCCAAGAAAGGGAGAAACGTCCGTGATGGGGATGGGGGTGTGGGGGAAGGTGGGGCGGAGGGGGGCTAGTGGGAGATACCGAGGGAGAGCCAGACACCCCAAGTCACAGGAAGGAGCGGAGGGGGAAACTGAGGCAGGGAGGCCATGGTGGGCCACGTGGGTCCCCCCTACCCCTCTCTGGCCCCCAGGGCCCCGACTCACCGGACAGCTGAAGTGTGGACCTTCGAGCCTGGAGGGGGAGAGACACAGGGGCATGTCAGGGGCGACTTCAGCCACCTGTGTCGAAGTGGTTGGGGGGCGGATGGGGGTGGTGGTGACTGCAGCTGTGACCACCACTGTAGCTGGTCTGCTGTGTGTCCCTGTGTGAGACCAGCCCCACCACACTCCCCCAACCCCACCGCCGGGACAGGAAGTAGGGGGCGGGGGCCAGGCAAATGTCCCCCACCCCGGGGATTTGCATAGACAGTGGCTTGTCGGGGGGCAGGGAAAGTGAGGGGGAGAAAGTCCCCGGAGAGGAGGTGTGGGCGCCAGCGGGCCAGTGGAGGCAGGGAGGGGGCCTCCCTTAGCGAGTCAGTGAAATGGGCCCACCTTGGTCCAGAGGAGAGAGATGGAGAGACATCTGGGCAGAGACGGGAAAACAGAAGAGACTCAGCAGAGGGGGAGAAAGAAGAAAAGAGAAGGGAGAAAGGTGTGGAGAGAGACATTCACGCAGCCCCAGAGACTGAGAGATGGGGTGGAGGAGAGACGGGGAGAGAGGAGAGAGAAGACAGGCGGACAGAGAGAGAGAACTGGAAAGAGACAGAGACAGACACGGAGGTAGAGGGAGCAAAGGCAGAGAACTGAGACCCAGAAACGTAAAAAGATGTGGCGAGCGGCAGAGTGAAAGGCAGACACAGGGAGCGAGCGAGACCCAGCGGGAGACAGAGAGAGACCAAGACAGAGACGGAGGGCCCCGCGGGAGAGACGTCAGCAGGAGGGAGAGAAGCAAGTGTCCCAAGGAAAGATCCTTGGGGTCCAGGGGGCACAGGGATGGGATGGAGAAAGGAATCCAAGGTGAGAGACAGGGAGAGAGAGATCCAGAAGGGGTGAGACAGTGTGGACCGCCTCCTACCCACCTGCCCCCCTGGGGGGGGGCAGAGACCACCACCCCTGGGGGAGGCCGGGGGGGTCGTGTGGGGCTCGGGGCCGTGTGCAGGTTTAGGGGCCCCACTTACTGTGCAGCGTCCAGGGCGAGCATGATGGTGCGGGCTGGGTGTGCTGCTGCTGCGGCAGCCACCCCTATTTATACCTTGGCCCAGCCCCCTGGGGGGGGCAGGGGTGCTGGCTGGCCGGAGCTCAGCCCTCCTCGAAAATCCCCTCAGGGAGGGGGTCAGGGGAGGGGGCTGGATTGCACAACCTCCTGGTCACGTGGCAGGGAGGGCGGGCCCGGGGGCCATCTGGATTTGGGGATCCCCACGGTTGGGGGTGGGGGGCTGACCCCGAGGAGTGGAGATAGGAGAAGAGCTGGATTTGGGGGGACCCTGAAAAAGGAGGGGCCAGGGGGTCCTGTGGTCCGTGAAGGGGGGGGTCAGTAAACAGGCGGGGTCTGGGCACAGGAGCCAGAGGGGAGCGGTGGCTGGAGGCTGGGGGGCACGGGTGCCATCGAGGGCAGACTCGGCACCGATGCTGTCAGGTGAGGTGGGGCTCACCAGGCTCTCATAATGGATGTGGACTGGGGGGGGGTCCCCAAGGAAAACCCAGGCCCGAAGCTGGTGAGGACCCTGAGGTGGAAACATCGTGGGTGTGTGACGCGGGAGGGGGGTCCCCCGGCCGAGCTGGGGAGTGGTAGCCTGGGTGTCAGGGGCTGCCCCAGGCCTGGAGGAAACAGGTCAACACCTGGAGGGCGGGGCGGCCCCCGGGGAGGTGGGCCGCTGGGCAGCGAGCACAAAGGAGCTCGTGCTGAGAGGGTGCACCGGGGCGCAGGGGAGGTCACTGGGGAGACTGAGGCAGGCCTGACGTGCGTGGGGCTGGCAGCATAGGAGGGAGCCCAGGGGCGTTGCAGGGAGGGTGAAGGGGTCCAGTGGGGGCCTCCTGGGGGTCAGGGGGTCCCAGTGAGGGGAGAAGAACCCCCCGGGCCAGGGCCTGTGACAGTGGACGTTGTCCCCCCAGAGACCACAACGCAGCAGGTAACAAAACGCCTGAACTTTAATTCTCCACCAATCCCACCCCCGAGGCCCTCGTGGGAAGCCCACTGAGGTCGGAGGTCACCAGGCCTCAGGGCCGGGGGGCCCGAAGCGTCTCAGAAGCTGCTCCTGGTCTTCCAGGTCCTTCCGCACCTTCTTGCGCATGTAGAAGATGGGGCAGTCCCGGCTGCAGGTGGGGGCAGGGGTCAGCACTGGGGTCAGGGTCAGGGCCGGCTGCCCAGCCCAGGGATGGGGCCGGGGCCTTTCCCAGGACTTTGGCCCCCGCCTTCTGCCCACCCAGCCCCCTCCCGCGGCAGGCTGTTTGCTCAGCGGGCATGGGGGGAGCCGATAACAGCGGGTGCCCGCCGAGGCGCCGGGCCACCAGCCGTATATCACCTGTCACCTGGCGTGGGAACCCGCCCCGCCCACCTGTTCCCTGGGGAAAGCCCGGCCCCGCCCTGGGGGAGGGGGCCAAGACTCAGTGTGGCCGTTTCTGGGCAGATGCTCTGTGCCCGGCCCACCCCACTCAGCAGCCCCCCACCCCCCACCTGGGAGGGGCAGGGGCCCATTTTGCAGGCCAGGACACCAGGTCAGCGAGACCCCACAGCCAGAAGTGGATGTGGGGCGGGGCGCTGGAGCCCGAGACCCCGGAGACCCTGCAGTGGGGGCTCTGGTCCGCAGGGAGCACGGAGGGCGGCCAGGCGGGGCCTGGGGCACGGGTGGGGGTCCCAGCGGCGGGCACACCTGGTACAGATGACGTCCTCGTGCAGGCTGCCCTGGCAGCGCTGGCACTGGGTCCAGAGGCGCGAGAAGCGCTCCTCCAGGGCGTTCAGGTGGGACACCTGGGGGTGGCAGGGCTGAGCGGGCGGCCCTGTCCCCCCACCCATCCCCTTGCTGCACCTCCCGGGCCCCCGACCCCTCACCTCCTTCTGATACAGCTCCGACTCCCGGGGCTGGCAGAACTTGCACACGGCTCCTGGGAGGGCGGCGGGTCAGCACGGGGAGCTGGGGCCGAGCCAGCGCCCGGCCGCCCCATCCCTGCCCCTTCCCCGCCCGCTGCCCATCCCGGCTGCTGAAAGTCCCCGGAGACGAGAGAACAAGGGAGCGAGTGTGTGGGGAAAACTCCCCAGGGGAACTCCCGGGGCGGGGGGCCCAGGACCCTGTGGGGTGACTGTGGAGAGGAGCCCCCCACTCGGGGGCCACGCCGATCCGGGCCGCAGCGCTGGCTGGCAGGGTGGGTGCCGGGGACCTCGGGCGATGGCGGGGGGAGTGGAGGGCGGGGGGCCGGGGTTGGGGGTCTGGGGTCCGGGCCGGTGCTCACCCTGGTGGCTGAGGACCGTGCGGCAGCCGATGCAGCAGCTGCGGCGCTGGGCGAAGGCCAGCAGACCGCCCACCTTGCCCGTGAGTACCGTCTTGCAGCGCGTGTGGTCCCCCCCTGCAGGTGAGGGCAGGCGGTGAGCCCAGGGCCCTCCCCTGACCCCCTGGGCGCCCCCGCCCGCCCCGGGCGCCCCCGTACGCAGCAGCACGGCCTCGGCGCGGCCCTCGCCCAGGATGGGCTCGAAGATGCGCAGGAGGGGCTTGGCGAGCTGCTGCTCCAGGTAGTACTGCGTGTCGATGGGCAGGCTGTGCTCCAGCACGAAGAGCGGGTCCTGCGGGCACAGCGGCCGGGGGGGGGGGGGTCACACGCGGGGGCCAGCGGAGCGGAGCAGGGGGCTGTGGTCAGCAGCAGGCAGCAAGGGTGCAGGGCGCCAAGGGGGAGCATGAGTCTGGGATGGGCTCAGAGGTCATGGGGGGCCTCTGTGATCCATGCTGGGGGCCACAAATGGGGGCCCTCAGGTCACCAAGGAGGGTCAGAGTTCACTGCGGGTGGAGGCGTGGGCAGCACGACAGTGGACAGGAGCTGGAGTTGGAGGCTGGAAGCCGAGATATGAGGAGGTGGGACAGAGGAAGGGGTCGTGGGGGTCAGAGGTCACTGGACTTCTGGCTAGGAAGGGGATGGTGTGAATCCAAGGGAACTAGAGGCTGGAGAGCAAGGTGCACGGAGACAGACAGACAGAAACAGATGGAGAGACAGAGTGACGCTGGGGCCCTCCTTCTGCAGGAGGGAGCGAGGGAGGGGTCAGAATAACGGGGGTCCCTCCAGAGGGTGCGGGGGGCCCGGGAGCGAAGCACCATGGAGCCGACTCCCAGGGGTGTGCGGGGGGCGGTGCTCAGGGCCCCGGGGAGCCACAGAGGCAAACACCCTCCCCGCGGGCCTGGAAAGCAGAAGTGAGAGCCGGGGAGAGCCGGGCGAGGGCAGGCAGCCCAGGTGGGCCTGACCTCGGACTTCATGTAGGCGGCCACGCCCTTGGCGGCGCCGATGATCACGTAGGGGACACGGTCGCCCAGGCTGGGCGCACTCCCGGGGTCCCGCTTCCTCATCCTGCGGAGAGGCCGGGGTGGGGGCGGGTGAGGGCAGGTGGGATGGCGGGGGCGGGCGGGGGCGTAGGAAGTGGTGGGCCCAGCTGGCAGGAGAGGGGCTATTTCTGGACGGCCCCGCCCCCTCCCCACGCCCGGCGGACCTTTCCGCCAGCTCGACGTGGGCCTGCTTGCCGGCGTAGTCGGCAGCCGCGCGGGTCAGCTCCTTGGTGATGACCAGCTGGGAGATGTCGATGCGATTGCACAGCAGGTCCGAGATGACTTCCTGGGCATGGGCCACGGCGCCGTTGGGGTCTCTGCGGGGCCGGGATGGGTGGGCGTCACCAGTGGCTGCTCTGGGCCAGGCTGGGGGACCGGGACGTGCTCCGGGGGCTGAGGCGCAGGGCGGGGAGGGGCCCTGCCCGGTCACAGGTTGCAAAGTGGCAAAGACGGGGCCTGAACTCACAGCTGTCCAAGCCCACACTCACCGCTCTACCACTGAGGAAGAGCTGCATCTGACACCTGTGTCCCCAAGGGAGAGGGGCTGGGGGCCGGGCCCTGGGTCTGGGGGAGGAGGGGGCCGGGTTCCCCGGCCTAGGTCCCCTGGTCTGGGGGAGGAGGGCTGGGCCTGGCCTCCAGGTCTGGGCAAGGGTCCCACACACCGGTCAATGAGCAGGCGCCGCAGCGAGGCGGTGACGAGGTTGGCCACCAGGGGGCAGTTGTCCCTGCGCACGGCCTCCAGGCCCTTGCAGTCCATGCGGTCATGGGCGTCCGGCCGGGAGGAGAAGAGCAGGCCGGCGTAGCGCTTCTTGCTGATGAGCAGGTAGGGGAAGTAGACCTGGGGGGACCCGTGGGCGAGACCCCTGAGACTGTGGGGGCCGGTCCCGGATCCCCCAGAAACTGAGGACAGGCAGGGATGGTCCCTGTGACACAGGTTTGGGACACTGGGGGAGAGGGACCCTAAGCCTCTGGTGCCTGAGCGGGGGAACACCCTCAGCATTCCAGGGGCCCCACACCAGGGGCCCCAAATCTAAAAGAGATTGGGATAAACCTAGTGACAGGCCCTAAAACACGCGATCCAGATGCTGAGGTGAAGCCTGGAGGGCCCCAAATCTGGGTGTGGGACCTGAGGCAGATGGGGGTACAAGGTGGCACCCCCTCAGAGAGAGGAGACTGAGGCCCAGGGGTGAGCCCCGAGGCCGGGACTTCCACAATTGGGAGGTTCCAAATCCGAAAGCAGGTGCACCCCTAGTGTGAACCGTGGGGATACAATACGGTGTGAGAGTTCCCAGACCCCAGGCTGACGCACGCGGGGAGCCCGGGCGCACTGGACGACGGTGCCCCGAGCCTGGATTCGCCCCGTCAGGTTCCCCACCGCCCAGGGCAGCGCCCACACCCAAGACCAGAGACACTCCAAGACTGACAGGGTTTTCAAAACCCAACACGGTCCTGTGCAGCAAAGCCCAAGCTTCTGGAGGTTTCCAAACTCAGGAGAATCCAGGCAGCAAAAAACCTCGAGAACAGGGCTTATGAACCTGCAGAACGGGGTACCCAGAGTACCCAGATCAGAGTGCCCCAAATGGAGACGCCGAGCAACCTCGGGGCTTCCAGATGCTGATATACAGGGGAACCCCACGTGAATGCATTCTTCAACTGTGCAGGCACCCTGAGAACCAGAGACCCCCCGAAACTGGCAAGACCCACACCTGCCCACTCCAAGCCCTGGGGGACCCCACTTACCTTCTCAAACTCGAGCCGGATGGGCGAGGGGAAGTGGCCCGACACCCAGTCCGCGGCCTCCCGCCCCAGGGCCATGGCCTCGGCCACAGAGGAGACTCCGAATCGGCACATGACTGAGTCGGTGTCGCCATACACCACCTGGGGAGGGCTGTGTGTGACCAGGAGGCACGGCGAGATGCAGGTCGGACCCCCGCAACCCCACCGGCCCCGTCCCAGGGCAGCCCTGACCTTGGCGCTTGTGCTGTAGCCGTTCTCCACCGTGTACTTGGACTCCACCAGCTGCTTCGTCTTCTCAATCATCTGGCGCCCGAACCCGGTGACGCTCTGTTGGGGAGAGTCACGCAGAGTGAGGGCCCCGGGGCCGTCTGCAGAGAACATGGGCTTGAGGTCCCACCTCTGCTGCTTCCTGGAGTGGGCTTGGGGGAGCCACTCCATTCCTTTGGACCTCAGTTTCCAAATCTGCAAAATGGAGCTAGTAAGCCGCTCCTGAATGGTCTGTTGAAAGCAGTGGGTCCCTGGCCCAGAGGAACTGACTGCAACAAATGAGCGTTGACAAGGCCAGAGCCAGAAGAGGCCATCAGCTCAGTGGTTCTCTCCAGGGAGATGCTGTGACATCTGGTGACACTGTGGGCAGCTCACCGTGGTGCAGGACCACTGACATTCCTGGCCGCCTCCCTGAAAGCCAGCAATGCCACCTCCCCATCCCTGGGCGACCAGAAATGACCCTGCACACTGTCAAATGCCCCCCAGGGTAGGGGGTTGGACCAGCCCCGTGGAGAAACCATTCCTTTC